TGAAACTTGTTTATTGCTGATATCAATCTTATTAAAGATAAAATCTTCCATTATAAGTAAATCCGAAGATATAATGCTATCTAGATTCTGCATAAGTTAGTATCGAGAAATTTTTCTTATACCTTGTTCTCTTCTACTTCTGAATGTATTATATCCTTTTTGATAAACCATAAAATTCTATCAGTTGCTTGTGCACCCACACTTAACCAATATTTTAACCTGTTAGCTTTTACCACAACCCGGTTCTTATTATCTTTTGGCAACATAGGATCATATTGTCCTATTCTTTCAATAAAACGCCCATCTCTTGGTGATCGCGAGTCAGCAACAATAATTCTATAAAAAGGACGCTTTTTTGCTCCAAACCTTGCCAATCTTATTTTAACCGCCATGTTAACCTTTATTCATACATTAAATTTTATTTTATATGTTGAGTAAAATAAGTCAAATAAATTTATCCCCTCGTCATACCTGTGTGAGCAGTTTGGCGCGTTATTTGCGTGAGACGAGTTTTGGGTTCTATTTTTATGCGTGTTCGTTCGGTTGTTTAAAATGGTTTAGTATTTTTGTACTAGTTCCTTTCTGAAATAAGGAATATCTGTGACATGGGATGTTTTTAAAGCTTTATTTTTTTACGAATTGTTGGAATTTACAAGGTTCTTCTTCACTAATACCACTGTCGTCGGATATATTGTCTACATCTTTCGGGATTAAGGGTGATTTATGATTTAAAGAAACATATCTGCCATCTTTGATAACTACAATGACAGGTTTTTATTTTATCTTCTGCTAGTTGTTCTATTGCTTTGCTTTTTGTGGCGAAATTTACTTCGGCATATATAGGCCCTAAAGTAGGGAGTTAGCATCTTCTAAGTCATCTGTCTGAGCGTAAATAACTTCATCATCGATGATAAATCGTACTTCATTTTTATTGAGGTTTTAGTGGAGGTGAGCGCTCTATACTCATAAAGTATGCGTTTTTCAATAGACGTCTTCCGAAGCTCAATTTTTGATGGCAATTTTATTATCAAAGCTGAGCTACGCTCCTCGAATACATCTAAGTATTCCGTGGTGCTCGCTTGCACTTCTCCTAAAAATTTCTTACGATAGATCGGTTTTAAAAGAGGTCTAATGTTTATTTCATCTATATGATCATATTCAAGTATTTTTCTAATAAGCATTTTATTATAGGGAGAGATGGCATCCTATCTAGTAAATTTTTTTGATGGATCTAATATCAAATTTCTTGAGATTGCTACTCTTTCAACGGTATATGTTATAGTGTTTCTCTTATTTTTATCAAGTAAATTGACATCATCTCATACATAAAAAGCAGTTCTACTATGTTTTATTAAGATTTTCTATAGCATATATAAGTGCAACATTTAAGTGTTTATTATCTTTACTTCTAACAGATTTTTCTTTTTTTTAAACATGAAAAATTTTTATCTAATGCATTAAGGGAACTCAAAGTAAAGTCGACAAAGTTCTTGTTATTGTATTTTATATCTTAAATCAATAAATATTTTTTAATCTTCATAAGTTATCCCTCACTATTGTAGTTATTTAGGGTGATGTGTTATCTTACAATAGTTGATTTTTCTTAAATCCGATGTTGTTATA